ATAAATAAATTAATAAATAACAAAAGAGGTGTGGTGACTTAGTGAAGTGGATAAGTTGTCAACCCCCCAAGTGGTAGATTGTGAGTTCAAAACCCACCAACAGCGAAAATTTGAATAATCACCTATGTAATACATAGACGGTATTACGGCGACAGCATTCTGTCGATCAGTTGTGATAGGATACCTGTAACTATGGTCGCACCAGCATGACTGGCAGGTCACGGGGCATCTGTGTAACCAAGGTTACACAGAGGAATGCAAACCGGTACCGGGTGGTGCAAACCTAAAATAAGTTCCTATGGCTGTATAAATTCGTAGAACTGGAAAACCGGAGCCTACTTGGAAAGACCCGAGTAGATAGATAACACAGATCTTCGATGGTACCATTGTAAAGGCTAGACCTAGGAAATGGATACCAATGTGGAGGAGCCGGATGGGCAAGAACCTCAGTTGAGGGGTACCACCAACCAGGCCACCGGAACCAAACTAGAGGAAAAGAATATCGGGCCGGCTCAATATACCAAGAACAGGTCACAGTCCTATCATGCTATCTGGATTGGGAGTCTGGTGACAAAGCAGGGGTATACTATAAGTACTAGGGATATGCTGTGAAGTAGGTGCTAGGGTTTGGGTGAACTCTACAAAGGCTAGCCTTGTTAATGTTCTGTAGATAGGTAGGTAGTTAACAAGGGGGTACCCTGAACCTTACAGTCAGGTAACGTATTCTGAAATGTTTAACGGCTTGACAGTTGTACAAAAGAGGAAGCCAAATGTTGGGTTAGATGGCACTTAGTTGTACGGGAACCAGGTGTTACTCATCTGGGTGTAGTATAAGGATCAGAGTGTTTAAATAGGTACCCTTCTAGTAGGTTACAGGAATGACAGCTAGTGTAGAACCCTTGAGCAGACTACTTAAATAGGTAATCAAAAGTTACATGTGTGGCTAGTTGCACACTTACCTTGTACAAGTCATATGTAATGCATTGATCAAAAACACAAATAAAGGTGGTAGCTACCAATAACATTGGCTTTAATAAAAAAAAAAAAAAAAAAAATAAGAATATAATTTAAAAATATGTAATTCATTAAACCAAAAAATAAACTAAAAAAATAATAAAATATAATTAAATAAAAATTACACACACCTTTACTTTCATTTTCAACATTTTGATTACTTGTGAATGTGGGCAAACTTTTTGTAGCAGTAGCATACCAACTAGATAGCATTGTATAAATATTTGGGTCCATAACAAGATTATTTATTGCATTGGTTCTTGTGCTAAAATGAGGATCTATCCAGGCATCGATAAGATGTTGTAACGCCTGCAATGTGTTGTATCGTTGGGTAAGGTCAAGTTTGATCGCCTTACAATTTATGTGTGTATCATATTCTTAAATGTTCGATATACCATCTTCTTTATGTCGACAGCAGTGTTTACAAGTGTCGCAAAATTCCAGGCATGCTGTAAAAGGTGAACATTTACATGCAAATTCAGTAGGTTCGTAAAGCTATTTGGAAATAACTAAAAACAATATATATATATATATTCAATTAGTTTAAACAAAATCATGTACTAGTAATTTAATTACTGTCAATAGACATTTTTGGATAAAGGTTTTGAACATTGTACCAAAAAAAAAACATTATTCAAAATAATTTGATTTAATACATTAACGATTAATTGTGTTAACCGTTTAATTCAGCCAGCATTAAAATTATTCTGGCCTATGACCAATATACTTTGACCCGGCATTATGAAATAATTGTTAAGTGACTAAATGGTTTCAATCTTTAATACATAGAATTAGGGTATTGTCCCAGTTAGTAAATTTTTTTAAAAAACCAATGAATAGCATAAAGGTACATCATATAGTAGTATAATATATATTATAGCCTGAAGAATTAATATCAACATGCTTAGGCATTCTTGGATGCTGAACAGTTAAAATGTCTTGAATATTGAGAATATAAAAGTTAAACAAAAATTTTGGTGACCATGTGATTATTGATCAATAATCTACTTAATAACTTAATTTGGCCTATAAAACTGTCCTTTAACAAAAAAAAAAAAAAAAAAGAAGAAATTTACATATAGACTATATCTTTTTATCTTTAACTCAGGCTATAACAATCACATGTTGCTAAATTTTTGTTTAATGGTTTGAAATTAATTACTTGCCTGTATTAACATTTCACGTTCATTTTCAAGCGTTTCTTGTAATTCTTTGTAATGACTTTCTGTCATTGTAAGTGAAAATGCAAGCTTTAGCACTTTTGCTTCAATTATCTAACAAACACATAATTTAGACACAGCTGAACTTTGTCTTGTATGCCAATTATTCAAAGTTTCTGTCTTGATATGTTGAGGCTTTAAAAATCATCGAAGTATAAAGCCATTAACATCGCAAGCCTTAACACATCAGAAAACATGAAACTTTGATGATGTCATAGTGAATTGGGCATTCGACACCAATTGGCTGGTTTTTCTATATCTCTCCAATGTTTTAAAAAAGCATTTTCACCATTTAGATTAAACGCATTAAACGTTGCCTCTAAAAGGGTATGAGTTTTTCCGGCCATGAAATGATATATATCTTGTGGAGTTTGGACATGCTGGTCCCACTTAAGTATCCTTAAAGGTCCAGGCTTTGCCAATCCATACTCAACTGCTAGTTGTTCCATATCTGCCTTTGAACGTTGGCTTTTAATCTCTGCGATCCATTCTTCTGTCTGTTGGTGAAAGTGAGCATTTTGTATGTAATTATAATTTGGATTAGTATATTTATTATTCGACACATTGCAAGTCCGGCAACCATGATTAGCATCATGCCATTTTACATCTGCCAATTCGTTTCCTTGTGACAGGTTAGCAGTAATGCATCCAATCCCACCTATAGTTGTTAAAATATTAAATACTTAATGATCTAAATACTGTATAATCGTTATCGTTATGCACATCCAGAATGTGTAACAAATTAAAAAAAATTTTCTACATAATTTGCTTATGAAACTGCTATTGGTGCTCTAAGAAAAAAATTATATATATAAGTTTGGTGCAAGTTTTGCCTAAATTTCTTTCTAACCCTAACCCCAACATTAAAATCTATTTAGCATGAATCGATGTTATCAATTAGTTATAACCTGCTACACAATCTGGTCTTGCAATTGTGAAATACTACCTCTGCATGAATAGTTGCTGTTCAAGCTGTTTAAAATGACTCAAATTATGGATAATTAATGTTATATTGACTCTTTGCTAAAATTATATAACATTAATTATCGCTGTCCCAAATAGTTTGATGGCAACTATATTATTATTTCGAGACACCTAATATGTTATTTCAAAATAAAATGCGAATCTAATATATATAAATGTGTTAATGTTTTCTACAGAACATGTGTTATTTTGAAAGGATTCGCCAACAATCACTTTACCGACAGCTTATTTAGCTGACATCACGCTAGGTGAAATTTTGTAAAAATATAATACCTGCAACTAGTAAATGCTTAACCCTAACCCTATGTGATGTCGGCTAAATGAGCTTTTGGTGAAATGACTGTTGGTGAATTAATCAGAACCCATTTTGGAATACACATGAGCTTATTTTGAACAAAATAATATTTTAGAGGATACAATTTTGAAATAATGTTATCTAGTAGCCATATAGTAATGATTTTTTGAATGAAATGATACTGACCTACAACCTATGTATTACCCAATAAAGTCGTCATCGCAAGACCGTTTTCTAATCAGTTTATTTCTTGAAGTACTGGTTTAATGAAATCATTAAAATTTGCTCCAAATGGAACAAAACCAATTAAAAAATGGTTTTTTAATTGCTTACAGAAGTCCAACGTCATATTGCCAAACTGCAAATAAACTCCTCCTAGTAAATGGTATACATTTCGATAAGTGCCAAAATCATCAACGTAAATGTCGAGAAAAATCTTTAAAGTAGGTAAATTGTGTGGTGATGGCATCAGTGTAAAATTTTCACAAGGTAGACGATGTCTCATTTTTATTTCACAGTATTTCCATCTATCATCAAAATGATATACGATTTCTTTAATAAAAAATTCATATTCTAAAGGCTCCGACATATCACATAACCAAACATTACATGTCATTCTATATTTGCTGGATTAACTAAATTCGGTTCCCCCTCGATTAGCCATAATTCCTTTCCATTGCCACGAATATGGCGATTATCAGTGAGACAGATGTTAGGAAGGTCTTTATGTGAAATGATGTAATCAACTTTCAACTTTAGTGAGTTGTTATCCATTTCATCAACCACTACTCCATGCACATGACAAATAGATATTGATGATTGTTCATGATATATTAAAAAATTGCTAGCTTTATAGAATTCTAACAAAAAAGCAGTTATTTTGATTTATTGTTTAAAAATTAAAAATTAAAAATAATAATAATAAATAATAAATAAATAAATTAAAATTAAGAAATAGCAAAAAACAAACAAATAAATAAATAAACTAATAAATAATTAAAATTAAAATTTATAATTTATCAACAATTAGTTGAATATTTAAAAAAACTAAAATAAGAAATTAATTAAATAAATAAATAAATATACAAAATTAAATTTTATAAATTATTAACCTTTGTTATTTTTAATTTGGTCTTCACCAAATAATAGTGAATCTTGCCATAATTCGCCATGCCAAAATTCCTGCTTTTCATTTGTAACAACTCCAGGACCAAAATACATTTTTGACATAAGCAATAGATTGTTTAAAATACGTTCTAGATGCAATAACAGAGAAATAATAAATGCCTTTTTCATAGATTTGTAAGTAGATGGTGTTTGTTTCATACAGAGAGGTACATTATGTTGGAGTACTTTAACTAAAGGTAGCCTATTTCTCCATTTTTGAATCTCGAATGTTTGTAGAAACATCTTCTCTTTTAAATTTAGAGTGCTTAAGAATCTTTACAAGATCTTTATATGCGGAGGTTACTATAAGAAATTGGCATGCATTATGTACATGTTCAGTAAATTACTTCACGTTACTATAAATTGAAATAAAGTAAAACGTATCCTTCGAACACTTCAAACATGCCACTCGAGAATATAATGTGATTTTGCAGACATTGCCTGCGAAATCACATGATTCTTCAAGTGGAATGTTCGAATAACATTCAAAGGTTACAATTCGATTTTTTAACCACAGCCAATTAACATTACTTACAGATCATATTTTTAGTAACCCAACTAAAGATCCCAGCCGATGTGAAATTTGGAAAGTATGAACCATAATCACTATCAAAGCCTTCAAAATTAGAAGATATATCTTCCAATACGTCAGTATCTGAAACTTCTGTAAAGTTTGATTCATCACTATCTTCTAACACATCACTTATTGAAAATTCTGTAACACCAGATTCTTCATTATCTTCCGGAATATTTGCGATGTCGAGTAATTGCTCATTGCCTATAATATCATATGTTGGATTTACACTATAATCAATTAGAACTTCCATGGTATCGACTAAAGGTTTATATGAGGGCTGGCAATAATTGACATTCTCATTATCAATTGTTGTTTCAACCTTATTAAAATGATTTGTATATTAGTATTTCATGAAAAAAACGACACATTTTTCCGAATTCGTTATAGATTATTTAGAGTATATACTTCAGAGTGCAAACCAATGCTTTCTGCATTACTATTTTCTGCAGATTTATTAGATACTGAAGTTTCTTCAATATCTTCATATTTTGTTTTTTTCGATTTAATACGTAACTTTGATACTGATACGTATGCATGAGTGGTTCTGTTTGAATGTTTTATCATTAGTTTATAACCCTACTTTTATAAAATATTTTTTACTTATTAATCAAATATTAGCAGTAGTGCTACAAAGAAGAAAAATAAATTGTTTGATTGATCTAATTCTGTTTTTTCATTTATTTATTATTTAT